CCGGCAAAGCCTCCTAAACCCTAAACCCTAAACCCTAAACCCTAAACCCTAAACCCTAAACCCTAAACCCTAAACAGGCCCTTTCAGAAACATCGTGGCCTCGAGCTGCTTGGATTTTTCAAGGTCAACCTCTCCCAAGAATTTGGGCGCTTGTGCTCCCTGATTCCCTCGCCTCCCCCCCCCCCAAAAAAAAAAAAAAAAAAACAAAAACTCGCATACTTGCTGAAAAAGAAAGCTGAAGAGGAAGCTTGAAGGTTTGCAGTTTAGGGTTTGGGGTACTATACCCCCCCTTTACAACCTTCAAAAAAAACGTCATTTTTTTAACATTCCATTGGGTTTTTCAATCAAATAACAATCCTAAAAGGGCTATAGCTTATCATACCCAACCCTAAACCCTAAACCCTAAACCCTAAGCCCTAAGCCCTAAGCCCTAAACCCTAAACCCCCTTTGTAGGAGCCTCAAAGGTGCGGAAGTCGCCTTTCGCCACGCTTTGCACTTGGACCTGGCGCGTTCTTCTGGGGTTGCTCTTCGGGATGACTTTTGTGTATTGCGGCTGAAGCGTTAGTGAAGGTTTGGGGTGTAAGTTTACCACAAAAAAGCCTAAACCCTAAACCCTAAACCCTAATCGGGCAAAGAGCTCAAATTCTGTTCCGTTGACAAGACGATGTTCAAAATGTCATGAAGTCTTCCCTCCCTCGGGATCAGTATGGGCCCCTTAAGGAGGAATATTTCACCTATCCTTGCAACGTATCCATTGTATGTGTATACATGTACATGTAGTTGCTTATTCTTACACATGGTGTACCAGGACCGAGGCCTTTCGTTGCCCAGTTGCCAAGCTGCCCCTAAACCCTAAGCCCTAAACCCTAAACCCCAAACCCTAAACCCCAGTTCAAACTCCTAAACTAAGGAGTGGGGGGTATCTGGCCGTAGCTGCATTTCGCGTAAAATACGTAGCATTCGAAGCCCTGTCCTAAACTTGAAAGATTCTGCCTTAAGCCCTAAACCCTCAACCCTAAACCCTCAACCCTAAACCCTAAACTCTACCCTAACCCTTTACCCCCAAAGGGTTAGGGCCGAGGTCCGCGCCAGGAGCTCCCATTCGTCATCTGAGCTGCCCATGGCATCCCAATCGACCTTCCCTGGATTTGGGGCTTTAGGGGTTTAGGGCTTCAGGGGTTTAAGGGTTTTAGGGGGTTTTAGGGGGTTTTAGGGGGTTTAAGGGGGTTTAAGGGGTTTTAGGGGGTTGAAGGGGGTTTAAGGGGGTTTGAGGGGGTTTAAGGGGGTTTAAGGGGGTTTAAGGGGTTCAAGGGTTCAAGGGGTTTAGGGAAGGGGTTCAGTGCTGGGCTGAAGCTTTTGGCTTCCGTTTGGGGCTTTCGGGGTAGCAGCGGGAGAAGGATGGGCCTTTGCCCGTAGGGATCGAACAACACTGCGCCAGAGCACCCTGCATATAAGAATAACTGGGAGGCCGTAAAAGCACTTCAACTAAGTTACCTTGTATAGGGTTTAGGGTTTAGGGTTTATGGTTTAGGCTTTAGGGTTTAGGGTTTCGATAACCCCCACCCCACCCCTCCAAAGACCTATGCGTTCTGGCTGTTCGAGACCAGCTGCTGGTATCTGCTGGTATCTTAAACGCCTGGAGCGTCTCCGTTCTCCATCTTCTCATCTTGAAACTCAAGACACCGAAGGAACTCAGAATGGAAAATCGAAGACGTAGCCTGACACTGAGACCTCCGTGAGAATCTTCCATCTTCAGGTGAGGCGTCTTGAAGCTCAAGATGGAGAAGATTGAAGGTGTGCACCCCAAAGCTGCTGAGCGTCTTACGTGTTCAATCCGCTCAAGATAATCGTCAGCTTATCTCGTCCCGGTCGGAGCTCACCCATAAACCAGCTCGCTTTTCGGCAAGTCGTGAGAAGCTGTCGTACTTGCGCAGGCCTGTAAGATCTCAGATATGTTTCAAGGAGACTACCTTGAAAATCTGCTGGCCAGTTCAAGATAAAACTGCCAATGCAAATCATTCACAATAAGGGCTTTTCTGTAAAAGGTGTACCGCTTTGTAAGCAAACGCCCCCTAAGTACTACATCCTACAACCCTAAACCCTCCTAAGTTCGTACCAGGTCCGAGGCCCGAGCGATGTGTGACAAATCCAATAAAGGCATGGATCCATGGGGTTAGCATATATGTCAAAATACCCAAAAATAGGAGCAATACCCAAAATAGAGCAATAACCAAAACTAGTCGTAATTGGAGTGTGTTTCCAGTGTGATGGCTTGATTTGCACTTCCTTCAAAGCAACCCCGATGCTTCATTCAGGTAGGCCCCAGTTGCTACATTCCCGTAGAGCGCAAGCCTACACTTGAGGGTGCAGGCGTAATCCTATCCTTATTCCCTACGCCCCAAAACCGAGCCTCTGCGCCAGTCTGTCGCCAAGGCCATGCAAGCCTTCGCGCACCCTAAACCCCGAAGGGGTGGTGCAGCTAACCATACTAAATCTCAGACTGTTAAACCTACCCCAAGGGCCTACCTAAACCCTAAACCCTAAACCCGAAACCTAGGTAAGGGGATAGGACAGATTTCGGGGGTGGAAGGGCCGGGGGGGGTCAACCAAAGAACAATCAAACAAATCAACAAAAACATCATTTGGGGTATAGGGTTCAGGGCCTAAATGACCTAATATCCGCTAAAAATCCTGATCTCTAGCGCCTTTTATCCTAAGCCCGAAACCTCAAGCCTCACCTGCCCACGCTACACCGCAGACGCTGTCCCAATACCCTTCACCCCAAGAACGCAAGGATTCGTTTCCAAAAATGCAAGTAGGGGGGCTAGGGTTGAGGGTTTAGGGGTTAGGGCTCAGGGTTTAGGGTTTAGGGTTTAGGGTTCGGGGTTCAGGGTTTAAGGGCTTATAAGGTATGCACCCCCACAACGCCGTCATCCGAATCCTGTTTGCAGGAACCGGCCACGGGGATGAACATTTAGGCTGCACAGGGTTTGTAGGCTTCGAACCCAGAGTTGGCTTGGGTTCAGGGCTTGAAGGGTTTGGGGTTTAGGGCGTTTAGGGTTTCGGGTTCAAGGTGTGGGGTTTAATTAGGGTTTGGGGTTTAGGATTTGGGGCCGAGGGACTAGGGCTCAGGGCTTGGGTTTGGGGCTTATCCTGGCACGTGCTTTAGATGGACCAGCAATACAGTAGCACGAGCCGAGGGGTTTGGACTTCCGTCACTTGGCGGCAGGTTGGGGTTAGGGGGTTCGGAGGGTTTTGGGGGGGATTGGAGGGTTTAGGGTTGGGATGTTCCCCCTTATACTAACAGTCCTGAGTTTTCTCAATATGGGGATTCTAGCACCCCCTATTGCAATCCCTACTAAGCACTGTTGGTATAAGGGGGCACATCCCAGGTTTTAGGGGGCTTTTGGGGGGGGGCCCCGAGCGCGCCTCCAGCTCTGCAGCACTGGGACGTGGGTGTGAAGAATGGGCGGAGGAGGCAGCGTGGCTTGAGGTCGAACTGGCGACCCGAAGAGGAAGGTTGAGGGTTTAGGGCTGGGATAGTATTGAAAATTTGAATTCCTATACCTTATTTGGTCTAAGTACCCCTAAAAATGTACAAATTTTACCCCACTATGACAAGAGGAGGGACTCACGAGCTCTTAAAAGTTTACGGGCATGGAACCCTAAACCAGAAACTGTCGTCGCAATGCGTAAACAACCCTGCAACCCGGCACCCACGCCTCCAAGACACAAAGCCTTTGCAGGCGAAGCCTCCCCCAAACCCTGTTCGCACTGGCTCTTTGCCGGGATTCGGGAACCTAAACCCTAAACCCTAAACCCTTAACCCTAAACCCTAAACCCTAAACCGGGTTTCCACATGGAAGCGTGGAGTCAGGAAGGCTTGGTTTCAGGGGGAACACCCCGGACGTTGCAGGAGGCTCGGGTGCGACCGGGGGGTGTCAGGAGTCAGGAGCTGCTTGTAGGGCTGTTCTGAGTAGGCCTAAACCCTAAACCCTAACACTTGAAGCTCTCAAGCCCTGAACCCCTGTAACCCTGAACCCGGCCAACCCTATTCGGCGACTCAAACTTTGAAGCAGCGCGGCCCGCAGGTCTGGAACACTAACCCCTTACATAGGGCTTTGGGTTCGGTGGTTAGGCTTCGGGTTTAAGGTTTGGGGTTTCGGGCTTGGGGTCCAACATGTCCCCTAGCTAAGCACTGAAACAAGATAAGAACAACTTGGGGCTTAGGGGGGTTGAAGTTGTAGGGTCCAGCATTGGGGCCTTGAGGTGTATTGGATTTCGAGGTCAAGGTGGCCCCAGAACCCTAAACCCTAACCTACACCCTAAACCCTAAACCCCTAAACCCTCAACCCTAAACCCTAAACCCTAAACTCTAAACCCTAAACCCTAAACCCTAAACCCTAAACTCCTCAACCCTGAACCCTAAACCTGTTTGTTTCAGCTCAGGCATTTTAGGGTCATGGGGCTTAGGGTCTTGGTTTTGGGGGGCTTAAGGTTCCTTTGCGTCGAAGCTCCGAGAAGCACTCGCTAAGCCCCCCTGCTTAGGGCATAGGGTTTAGGCTTTAGGGCTTAGGGTTTAGGGTTTAGGGTTAAGGGTTTAGGGTTTAGGGTTTAGGGTATAGGGTATAGGGTATAGGGTTTAGGGTTTAGGGTTTAGGGTTTAGGGTTTAGGGTTTAGGGTTTAGGGTTTAGGGTTTAGGGTTATGGGGCATTATGGCTTTGGGGGCTGTAGGGTGTGCGACTTCGGGCCTGAAGTTCAGGGGTTTTCGGCTTGGGGGTTATAGGGTTCAGGGTCTTCAAGGGCCCTAAACCCAAAATTTCAAAACCCTAAAACCCTAAAACCCTAAACCCTAAAACCCTAAAACCCTAAAACCCTAAACCCTAAAACCCTAAACCCTAAAACCCTAAACCCTAAAACCCTAAAACCCTAAACCCCTAAACCCCTAAACCCCCAAAGCCGAAAACCTGTCTGAGGACAAACCACCGGGCTCCGCGCTGCCGACAAGGGCCCACCGCCGGAGAGCATGCTGCGCAGCTCGTCCAGGGAGATGTGGCCGTCTGGCAGATGGGTTTCGGGTTTCGGGTTTCGGGTTTAGGGTTTAGGGGTCTAGGGTTTAGGTTTTGAGGGGTTTAGGGTTTAGGGTTTTGGGGTTTTGGGGTTTTGGGGTTTTGGGGTTTTGGGGTTTTGGGGTTTTGGGGTTTTGGGGTTTTGGGGTTTTGGGGTTTTGGGGTTTTGCGGTTTTGGGGTTTTGGGGTTTTGGGGTTTTGGGGTTTTGGGGTTTTGGGGTTTTGGGGTTTTGGGGTTTTGGGGTTGTGGGGTTGTGGGGTTGTGGGGTTGTGGGGTTGTGGGGTTTTGGGGTTTTGGGGTTTTGGGGTTTTGGGGTTTTGGGGTTTTGGGGGGGTTTTGGGGTTTTGGGGTTTTGGGGTTTTGTGGGGTTTTGGGGTTTTGGGGTTTTGGGGTTTTGGGGTTTTGGGGTTTTGGGGTTTTGGGGTTTTGGGGTTTTGGGGTTTTGGGGTTTTGGGGTTCAGGTTTTAGGGGGTTTGGGGCTTAGGGTGTTTTAAGTGGGTTTTGGGTGTACGTTCAGTTCAGGGTGGGATCTTGGGCTTCGGGTTGAGGGATGTACCCAACATTCTTCGAGCTTAGATCCTGTACACCCGAAACCCTAAACGGGGTGGGATGTTCCCCCGTTTTCGAACAGTCCTTAATAGGGATTAGAGTAGCCCCGACTATAATCCCTATGAAGAACTGTTCGTAAGAAAAGAAAAACACACCAAGTCTAGGGTTATTCGGTTTGAGTGCGCGGCCTCCATTCAGGTCGAAGATCTGGAAGGCGTGGAAGACCACGTCGTCGATCAGCTTGCCTGCCGAGCCCCCCTAAGCCCTAACCCCTAAACCCTAAACCCTAAACCCTAAACCCTAAACCCTCAACCCTCAACCCTAAACACTCTCAAGCCCTGCAGGGCGTCTTTGTAGAGCGGAAAAGACATCGCAAGACGGAAGGCCCATAGTGGGTGCTTTCCTGATGACGTTGTTACAGCCACTTTCAGTACTAGACCTTAAACCCTAAACCCTAGACCCTGAACCCTATGTGAGAAGCTGGTAGCCCTTAAGGCCAGCGCGTCGCATTGGTAGGGGCAGCCTGATGAGTGGCTGTACTCGCCAGTGCGGGTGGGTATACAATACATTGACCAGGTATAAGGTCAAACACAGGTTATGAGCGCACAAGTATCGGGCTGCTGCGCAAAACGCCGCTTGGTAGTGGGCTTGGTGGTTGTGGCCTAAAGCTGTGGGGGGTTACTTCATGTCGGCTGCTGAGAGTCTGGCGGGCACAGCGGGTGGCTTTGCCAGGGCGGTCGGGGTCATGGGTGGCATCACAGCATGGCATTGCCAATGGTTGGGGGCAATGAGCGCCTAATGGAGAGGCCAGGTGGCGCAAACCTCTCAGCCATTGCTGATGGTTGCTGGGCCGTTACAGCAGGGAGCACTCCTTCGCATAAGCTGTGGAGCGGGGGGAGTGTGAGAAGCTGGTAGCCCTTAAGGCCAGCGCGTCGCATTGGTAGGGGCAGCCTGATGAGTGGCTGTACTCGCCAGTGCGGGTGGGTATACAATACATTGACCAGGTATAAGGTCAAACACACCCTAAACCCTAAACCCTAAGCCGTTTAGGGCGGAGGAAGGGATGCCATTCAAGGCCGTAGCCTAGAAAAACCCTGGCTCACACAGTGGTTCCTCCCCACCCCCCCCCCCCAAAACCCTAAACCTAATTTGGGGGGGGGGGGGGGGGGATTAGAATAATGAGAACAATATTCATATTAATACAAATAATATGAAAAATATTAATCATGATAATAGTAATATCTACAATGGGCTACCTTTTTGGGGTTGCTAGGAGAGGGATTGCTAGGAGAGGGATTGCTCAGAGTATTTTGGGGGGAGGAGTATAAACGGGTTTCGCCCCTGTTCTCGGAAATGCTCATGTGACTCCCGGCTGGCGGGCGCTTGATGCTTTGGGAACCTCCTGAATCACAGGAACCCTAAACCTGAACCCTGAATCCTAAACCCTAAACCCTGAACCCTAAACCCTGAACCCTAAACCCTGAACCCCAAAGCCCTAAACCCTAAACCCGCGGATTGCTTCCCAAGCGCAAAAGCAGAAGCCTGACCCTGACCTACCTGAACCCCCCCCCCCCGCAAGTGGCACTTACTAAGGGCCCAAGTGCGCATTGGGTGTTCAGGGTATCTTGAAGGGTACTACTTGGGGGGCTCAGCCCCCTGCTTGCCCACCCTACGGCCCCTAAACCATGGGCTCAGGTTGAGGGCCTACGGATGAAAATGCTGAAGCATTAAACCCGAAACCAGAAATGGATTGCTTGCCTTGAACTTGCAGCAGCGCCGCCACAAATTCCGTGTAGTTGATGTGCCCATCCTTGCTAGGCTCGGGGGATCCGGATTTGCTTTGAGGGGTTCCAGTGGCTTTTAACATGTTTTAGGGTTTAGGGCTTCAGCTTTAATACTTAAAGTTCCGGGCTTTGGGCTTAGGGTTTTTGGGGAACACCCTCCAACACCAAGGCTGGCACCCTAAACCGCATGGTGGCAATCGTGATCGCCGCTATTCTCGCAGCTTGAACCAACTGAACTTCGATCTGTCCAAACTTTAGGATCTCCGGTTTTCTGGTCGCTGATTTTTGACACAGATCCTTAGAGTACTGATCGATGCTCGAGTTCGCCCCCGTAACAATGCGTCCGTGGCGTAGTGTAACTTCATATCCTGGTAGGTTTTGAGGCGCATGGCGCGAGCTGCTTCCATATCGGGAGGTTGCATTGTGGGCCTCGGGGGGGGGGTTCACAGGTATGGAGTATTCACAGTATGCGCCAAATACTCCTAGCAGTGGACCAAATACTCCTAGGAGTGGAGCCCCGCCAGGAAACAATCATATGGATTAATTAGCCCTCATATGTGAACACAGAACTGAGGCGCTGTGAGGGTCATTCTTTATCTCGCAATGCTCTGCGAAGATCTTATGTGATCTATCGTCAGCCATAAAGTTTTAAGAGCAGAGTAGCGTACGCTCAAGATGCGGGGCGAAGGGTTTGTTTTTGCAGGATGTTGGGGGGTGCAGTTTTCAAGCAGCATGTGCTGCCATGGGCCCATCGTCATGAGATCGGGTGGAGGGCATCTATTGGGGATAAGCACCACTACCGGCGTGTACCGAGCCTTTCGCAGTGCGTGTGCTACGTCCGAGCTCCTCAGCACACGGAACCAGCACGCTAAGGGTATGATTGAGGCCGTGGCACAGTCCATGTCGATGCTAGCGACCAGCTGATCGATGACATCCTTGGCGACATGTTTCATCACTCTGTCGGGATGCCCTTCTCACCCTAAACCTAATTCACAAAAAACGACACATCGTAACCAGGGTTGATACCCTGTACGGCTTACGGTTAGGGGTTTGGGGTTAAGGTGATAAGAACATCCCTACGAAAACCCTGCCCTAGTTGTTGACCTTATGTGTGACCCCGACACCTTGCGAGACCCGGCACGGGTTAAACGGCCCTCCCAGTTTAGAATCATTCTCCCGGCTGGCCGCCGGTGGACAGATGGCTGGTCACGACCGGAATGAGTCTATAGAGGTCCATGTAAGATGTCCAATCGTTCACCCTAAACCCTAAACCCTGAAACCTAAACCCTAAACCCTAAACCCTAAACCCTAAACCCTACACCCGAAGAAACCCTGGAACCCTTTTCTTTGAGCCAAGCTGAGGCCGCAGCCACCTCCACGCCCATCTCCGCCAAGCCGGCCGCAAACTCCGCTGTCTGAAATCAGCATGTAGGGCCATTAGGCTTATTAGGGTTACTGGCCGTTGGGGTTATTTTGGTGGTTATCATAACCCTAATTTGGGCTACTAGGGTTCGTAGGGTTCTTAGGGCAACTACGGCTCTTGGGGCTATTAGGGTTACTAGGGTTATTAGGGCTATTCGGGTTATCATAGGAACCCTAATTAGGGTTATTAGTTGATAGGGAATATTACAGTCAGGGTTGGAGGGGGGAGGGGGGAGGGGGGATCAGCAGGGGGTACATACATCTGATCTTGCACATGCCCCAGAGTGAGGGTTCTGTGCATGTGCGGAGATGCAACCTGGTTGATCCTGCCAGTAGTCATATGATTGTCACAAAGATTAAGCCATGCGCCCAACATCATGCTAACTAAATCCCAGATGGTTCCATCTCTTGGGCACCGTACTAACACCAGGAAAGCAAAAAAGCCTGTGGACCTCAAATTGAAGTAGGGCAACCCAAAACCCTAAACCCTGAACCTCGAAGTTTCTGGGTTCAGGGAATCATGACTTCAAGGGAAATGGGGTTTGGGGTTCAAGGTGGACCCTCGACCCCCTAAAAACCCTAAGCACCAAAACCCAACTTGAAAGAGTTAGAGGAACCCTCGCCCCTACACCCCGAAGCAATTAGGGCTTAGGTTCAGGGTAGATATAGGATTTAAGGCCTAACGTCCTCTTTGACATCCGCGCGGCACTCAGCCGGCCGTCGTGATCAGCGTCGTAGCCGGAGAAGGCTTCCGCCAGATTCTGGCAGTTTTGTTTTTTTTTTTTTTTTGGGGGGGGGGGGGGGGGGGGGGGGGGGGTAGGAAGATTTAAGGCTTGAGCCCTGGGGTTTCGGGTTTAGGGTTCAAGGTTTATATGTTAGGGTTAGGGTTTAGGGTTTGGGCTGTAGAGTTTCGGGTTCATGGTCTATTGAACATATACGGAAGCTCACGCGGACTACGGCAACCCCCCACCCGGCCCCCCCCAGATGTGCATTTGTGTGTTTGCTCTCGTCTGGGAGGGCTCAGGGTTTCGCTTTTGCACAGGCTTCAGGGTGCTCGGTAAGGTTCGTGTCTCAAGGCTTTGTTGGGGGGGTACATCCTGAGACCACGCCTGCCCCGTAACCTAGGGACGAACATCGAAGAACGGCTAATTCCCTGTGGGCCCCGGATTCAGCGGACAATGCTGTTTTTCGATGTTTAGATCTGTGTTTTTTCTATGCAAATTGTGCGTTGAAAAGGGCAATTAATGTTTTGTTGAGCAACTAAATTATGTATACTATTTAAAGGAGCATACCCAACCAAGATACGAAACAAACACCATTCCCAACCAACATATGGCAAAGTGTGCGTTTAAAGGGCAAATAACGCTTTGTTGAGCAACTACTGTATTTATACAATTGTGTTTGTACTAGGCAAAGTATGAATCAAATACTATCTGAAAAGTCCACTGAAATACCTTATGTTTACATATTCATGAAACTTTATTTATTTTTGAAATAATCATTCTATGCAAATTTAGCTACTAGAGTAAGTATGAAGCAAATAGCCCTATTTGTCTCAAGTGAATACCATTTAAAGGACCATACTCAACCAAAATACGAAATAAGCACCATATTCAACCAAAATATGGCAAAGTGTGGTTTAAAGGGAAAATAGTGCTTTGTTTAGCAACTAATGCATTGAAACAGTTGTGTTTATACCAGACAAAGTATAATTGAAATACTATCTGCAAGGTCCACTGAAATACCTTACGTTTACATATTCATGAAACAATTTCTATTTTTGAAATATTCCTTCTATGCGAATTTAACTACTAGAGTAATTCTTAAGCAAATAGCCCAATTTGACTCAAGTGAATACTATTTAAAGGACCATACTCAACCAAATACGAAATACACACTAACGCCAATGGAAGCGGTTCTACCTACATAACAATGAAACAAAGATTGCTGAAGTATTCAATAAAGACCACTTATATACTATGTCTGAAAAGCACGATTTGCATAAGCAAGCTTAAAAATGCACAACAATGGAAATAGAAGAGGTTCTACATACATAACGATGAAACAAAGATGTGTGAAGTATTCAATAAAGACCACTTATATACTATGTTTGAAAATCACAACTTGCACAATCAGGCTTAAAAAATGCACAAGAATCCTAGAAAAGTACTTAGTGAAGGCCATACACAAGCAAATTCACAAATACAAAAAAACATCCAAAAGCGCAAGCTTTTCACGAGAATCTCTGGTGAAGTTTGGATTATAGGGTTTTGGGGTATCCCTGGACGAGTAGGAGTCACTTTTTAAGCAAACAATTCTAAGCAATAAATGCTTTTTCTCAAGACAAGTATTGCAAATGCTGCTTCTGGACAATTAATCGCTTTTACCAGGCAAATATAGCCCATGCGAACTTAGCTACCAGAGCACCAAGTAATGGCTGAAGGTGGTCTACTACACTTGAGTACAACCACAAGATGCACTAAACACTAGTTGAAAAAGAAGCGAAGCGGTTCTACGTACATAATAACGAAACAAATAGTTCTGAAGCACTAGAAAGGCCACTTGTATACTATACTCAAAAATGCGTAGTTGTTGCCTCGTGACCGTAAAGGCGAACCAAAAAGCCAAAATACCAAAACCAAAAAAAACCAAAAATACCAAAACCAAAAAACCAAAAAACCAAAACCAAAAAAAACAAAAAAAACAAAAATACCAATTTTCCGGGACTCTTGGAGAAGCCTCATAGGGATTCCTGAGAGCTCCGGGAAATTGTTTTTTTTGGATTTTTTGGTTTTGGTTTTTTTGGTTTTTTTGGTTTTGGTTTTTTTGGTTTTTTTGGTTTTTTTGGTTTTTTTGGTTTTTTTGGTTTTTTTGGTTTTTTTTGGTTTTTCAATTGTCCCGTGTATGCCATTTTAGTTGTATTTTAGTCTATGCCCTAGGAAGTACGCTATATTGCACACCGAGTTTGCTTGCAGTGCAGCTGGGTGACTTGAGACAAGGCGAAAAAGGGTAGGTCACTGGGGGGGGGGGGGGGGGGGTACAATATATATATATATATATGCATACACTATATGCATACACATGTATGTATTAAGTACGTATGTCGTGGTTTTAGCAGGGCCGGACATGAAGCTCCACACTTTGGGGCCCCGTACTTTAAAGGTGCTTCTGAAGGTTGGCCATCGTAACCCGAGGAAAATGTTTAAGAAAACATGCACCCCATAAGGCAAATGCGAATATCAAGGGGCCTCCGCAAACTCTAAACCCTAAACCCTAAACCTACCTAGTTTTTTTTCAGTGCCTGCCTCAATCTTGTGCGTGTCCAGCTGCGCAGCGACGCAATTCAGCGCAGCCTCCGTGCCGGAGGGTTGCGCTCGGGGAATGGAGCGCTCGGAGAAAGGAGAATGCTTCCCCACAATCGCCCCAAATCTACATGGTGAGTTCTCTAAATTATGGTCCCTTTCTTGGTGCCCTAAATTTAGGGGCCGCCTTACAACCAGGACCACAAAAAAAAACCACATTTTAGAGATGCAAACGAGACAAGGACCGTGGCAACGAGATTCGACAAAATGAACGCAAGAACTCCTGTCAGAATCGTTGCAACGAGAACCTCCAGGATCGTTGCAACGAAAGTAAGACAAAATCACGCAAGAACATTCAGGCAGGAATCGTTGACATGAACGCAAGAACAGCCAGGCAGGATTTGTTACGCAAGAACATCCAGGCAGGAAAGACAAAATGAACGTAAGAAACAAAATCGTTGTCAGGCAGGATCGTTGCAACGCAAACACCAGGCAGGATCGTTGCGTTGAAGGCGCTGAGGGAGCTTTCGGGTGGGTTTGGGGGGGCTTGGGCGGGTTTGACCATGCTATGGGGGCTGGGTTGGGTTGACCTCTTTTGAAAGGGTTGGGGTGAGCTTGACTGTGTTTCGAAGAGGCTAGGAAGGTGGCTTTTAAGGGAAGCGCTGGGAGACCGAGTCGTTCCTACATAAACAGGGCTACCTAGGAATCCAAACCCTAAACCCCAAACCCTGAACCCCACGAGCCCCCAAATCCAATCTCCGCCTTGGAGAAGAAGCTCATCTGCGCGAAGTTGGCGATGCTTTTCCTGGCCTCTGGAAGCGGACACACACACACACACAAACTCTTAGCGCTTCCCTCTTCTCTCTCTGTTTCTCTCTCTCTCTCTCTCTCTCTCTCTCTCTCTCTCTCTCTCTCTCTGTCTCTCTCTATTTATGTATATATGACCTTTCTGAATAAAGATATCTTTGGGAGCCTCTAGGCAAATTATATATACACATGTATGTTTCTGTATACATATATATATATATGTATTCGTGTATGTAAGTCTCAGCGGCATACGATAAAACCCTCTGAGGTACGTCAGAACTGGGGCTCAGAATTCACTCTGCAAGGAAGGTTACGGGTTCGCAGTGTGGATGTTTTGGGGGCGAAGGACTGACTGAAAACTCCAAGTATCCTAGACATCTAAAACCCCCTAAACCCTAAACCCTAAACCCTACACCCTAAACCCTAAACCCTAAACCCTAAACCCTAAACCCTAAACCCTAAACCCTAAACCCTAAACCCTAAACCCTAAACCCTAAACCCTAAACCTTAGCAGCCCGTAGCCCGCTACAGCCCCTCCTCAAGCACGTCGGAAGCTCATGGCCAGTTTGGAGACGCGCACAAGAATTCAACCAAGCACCACTGCCGGGATCCCATTCTCTGAGGGTGGAGGATTTCGGGCGTTGGGGGTTTAGGGGTTAGGATTTAAGGCTTTGGGGGTTTAGGGGTTTCGGGGTTTACGGGTTTACGGGTTTAGGGTCTAGGGTTTTGGGGCTTAGGGAATAGGAAACCCTAAACCCTAAACCCTAAAGCCTAAGCCCTAAGCCCTAAACCCTAAACCCTAAACGATGCAAACCACACTACTAGTAGAAGCTTCAAAGGGGGCCGCGCACCTTCCGAGCCTGACGGCCGCTGAGCGACCTTTGCTTCTCCACACCAGAGAACCAGGCGTCACCTTAGGAGATAAGGCAGGGTTCCTGGGGTTTAGGGTTTGGGGTTTGGGGTTTGGAGTTTAGGGTTTAGGGTTTAGGGTTTGGGGTTTAGGGGTTTAGGGTTTGGAGTTTAGGGTTTAGGGTTTGGGGTTTAGGGTTTGGGGTTTAGGTTGGGGTTTGGGGTTGGGGTTTGGGGTTTGCAGTTCGAGGAGGTTTGGGAAGAGGCATGCGGGGGGGATGAAGGGTAGACTTGGGGTTGAGGTTGGGGCCGGCACAAATATGAAGCGACCCTGGATCCGCTAACAACCCCAAACCCTAAACCCTAAACCCTAAACCCTAAACCCCAAACCCCTAAACCCTAAACCCCTCTAACCCCCCACACACCGACATTCACCTCCATCCTGAGGCCCGGGCCCAGCGCCTCACGGCACAGAGGGCGCTTCGACACCTGCTCCGATTCCCATAATCTGGGGGGCTTGGCGGCCTCGGGGGCCTCTAGGGTTTAGGGTTTAGGGTTTAGGGTTTAGGGTTCAGGGTTTAGGGTTTAGGGTTTAGGGGTTTACGTAGGATGTCCTGACACGAAGACCCGAACCTGTTCTTAAACCGGTGATCAACCTTCCAAGTTCCAAGACATGCGAGAGACCTGGAACGGCACGTGAAAAAACAACGAAACTCGTGAGGTCAGATGATGCATCGATTCGGGCAACGGGGCTGCCTGGGTACACAACCCTAAACCCTAAAAAACAAACCCTTAAAAAAACAAAAACTAAACAACAAACCCTAAAAAACAAACCCTAAAAACTAACCCTAAAAACTAAACACTAAACCCTAAACCCTAAACCCTAAACCCTAATTTTGTTGGGCCGGGACCCCCTCCCTCCCCTCCCGGTCCCTTGCAACCCACGGGCTGAAACCCCCGCAGCACCTGCTCTCTAAGCTGCCTCTCCCCCAGCAGATGCCAGTCATCACTTGCTCAGAGCCTAAGAACTCACACTGAGAGCACATGAAACTCGAAAACTCGCAACTGCCCTCCACCCCTAAACCCTAAACCCTAAACCCTAAACCCTGAACCCTAAACCCTAAACCCTGAACCCCCCCGCCTCCTTGACTAGGAGGCGTTGAATGAACGCCACCTCGAGGTCCCCACGAAGGCTAGGGGTTCTCTCGGATTCAGGCCTTTGGGATGAGCAGCTGGCATAGGCTTAGGGCCCTACCCAGTCCTATAAACCCAAAACCAAGACCCGAAAACTAAACCCAAGCATCCTGATGATAACCCAGACCCTAAACCCTAAACCCTAAAACCCTGAACCCTGAACCCTAAACCCTAAACCCTACTTGTGGACTTTCGGGTTTGGGAGCAGGGCCTGCCGGGCTCAAGGGTTTAACAGGCCTGCTTGGGACTTCAAAAGGCTTGAACAAGGAGGGTTTAGGGTTAGGGTTTAGGGGTTTATGGTTTGGGGTTTTAAGTTTGGGGTTTGGGGTTTAGGGTTTAGTGTTTAGGGTTTAGGGTTTAGGGTTTAGGGTTTAGGGTTTAGGGTTTAGGGTTTAGGGTTTAGGGTCTAGGGTTTAGGGTTTAGGGTTTAAGGCTGAGGGTTTAGGGCGATTTCTTGTGTTTCTGTGAGGTTTGGGGTTTGCAATGAGAGCCCAAGCCTCTGTTGGGTTGCCGAAGAATCCTAGCTCCAGCAGGGGGCTGTGGTGCAATGGGGTTTCAAGCTATTAAAGTATGGCTTGATATTGATTAGGAATCTCCGGGCTAGGGTTTACGCCCTAGGGTTTATGATTAGGATCCTAAGGCCCTGCAAGCTCACGCGCTTTTTTTCTCCTCGCCCGCGCGCCGCGCGCGCACGGCGGCATCGGGGGGCATCTGGGTGCCGTGCTCTCCAGCGCGGCAGCAGCCGGGCAGCGTACGGAGGGCCCCAGCGCCCGAGCGCGGCGCCGGAAGTTCAGAGGGGTGAGGCGAAGGGTTGCCCACAGAGCATACCGGTTCCAAGCGCAAGGCAATACCCCCACTTCTAAAGGTAGGTGTGCCTCAAGGTACCTGAGGCTGTCAAAACCCACTTCTTAGCTTTGTCTTCTGCAATCAAGTGGAGCTCCGACTTGGGGGGGCACAAGGTGGCCGAGTCGGGGCCTAGCTAAAGAGAGTCATGAGCTGATCCAAGAGCAAGAACTTCCCCTACCCAACGGGAGGCTTCAGGGTTGAGGGCTTCAGGGTTGAAGTCCTAGAGTGCACACACTAGAGCACCTTGTGCTACCAAGTAGATTGTGGCAGGGAGATCTACAATCTAGATCCCCCCCCAAACCACCCGGTTTCTGAAGGGCTCAGCGGAGAAAAAAAAAAAACAGGCAAAACAAACACAAGAACTGAGCCTAAGAATCTTGAAGCCTGGAACCCCTAAATCCGGAACCCGAAGCCCTAAACCTTGAAGCGCACATTCAACACTTGGAAAATGTCGCCTCTGGAGCTGCCTTCAGCTGAGAAACTAACGAAATCTTCAACTCCCGTAAACCCAAAAAGCGAGACCTTCGGGAACAAACAAGAAGAGCCGCACCTGTCAGGGTTGTAAAGTCTCAGAGCAAGATGGAGGGTTTAGGGCTATAGGGTTAGAGCGTTTACATGAATTCCGCGCCCGGGCTAAATGGAGCCCACCGCGTGTTGCACGAAAAACGCGCCCTGGCGAGTGACACACGAAAGGAAGAGCCACAGGACACGGTCTTACTCGTGGGCAGTGAAGAGTTAGGGTTTAGGGTTTAGGGTTTCAAGGTTTAGGGTTTAGGGTTTAGGGTTTATGGTTTAGGGTTTAGGGTTTAGGGTTTAGGGTTTAGAGTTTTGGGTTTAGGGTTTAGGGTTTACGGTTTAGGGTCTAGGGTTTAGGGTGCAGGGTTTGCTACACACAAACTGCACATTCCTGAAGGGCTTTTATGGGGCATTGGGGTTTTTGGCTGGTGCTGCTTCAAAAGCTGAGGCTTCGTTTCTTACGTCGATGTTTGGTCGAGTCTCAGCTGGAGTTTTCAAACTTCTCGTGAAAGTTCACAAGATTCCAACCGCATCTAACCAGCTTGCAACTTGAGAGGGGTTTGGTGTGCTCCTTGCTCCGGTGGGCCCTTAAAGAGCCCCCTTGGCAAATGTTCCTATACATCCTCCTCTCACGCAGAATGAGCTTTTGTAAATCTACAGATTGCCATCCCAAGGGCTCCCCTGAACCCTACGTAGGGCCCAGGGTTTAGGGACAAGGCTGAGGAGTTATGGTCCAAGGTTTAGGGTTTGAGGTTTAAGGTTTAGGGGTTAAGGCTTAGGGTTTGAGGTTTAGGGGTTAAGGCTTAGGGTTTGTGGGTTAAGGTTTAGGGGTTGAGGTTGAGGATTCACGCTTTAGGTTTTTTTGGGCTGGGATCACGTGCAACGTCGAAAGCTGAGATGACCAGGGTTCAGTTTTTCGGCGTGGGAACCAACGTTAAACTTCAATGTGGGGGCTCTTAGCCCTGTATAACCCCAGTCGCGGGCTAGGGTTTAGGGTTTAGGGTTCAAGGGTTTGGGGTGTCGGGTTTAGGGAAGCCGTAGAATGCCCTAACTACTATCTGCTGAGAACCCCCCCCAAAAAAAAAAAAAAAAACAATAATAACACGATTCTTCCTTACAAGGGCAGTATCGCGATCATTTTTCTAGTAGCTAATGATCACCTGAATGAGCCCCGTGGGGCTGGGAGTCTAGGGTTCGGGGTTTCGGGGTTTCGGGGTTTCGGGGTTTCGGGGTTTCGGGGATAAGGGGTTTAGGGGTTTAGGGGTTTAGGGGTTTAGGGGCTTAGGGGTTTAGGGGTTTAGGGGTTTAGGGGTTTAGGGGTTTAGGGGTTTAGGGGTTTAGGGGTTTTTTAGGGGTTTAGGGGGTTTCGGGGTTTCGGGGTTTTTAGGGGTTTAGGGTTAGGGGTTTAGGGGTTTAGGGGCTAGGGGCTTAGGGCTTAGGGCTTAGGGGCTTAGGGGCTTAGGGGTTAGGGGTTTAGGGGTTTAGGGGTTTAGGGGTTTAGGGGTTTAGGGGTTTAGGGGTTTAGGGGTTTAGGGGTTTAGGGGTTTAGGGGTTTAGGGGTTTAGGGGTTTAGGGGTTTAGGTGTTTAGGTGTTTAGGGGTTTAGGGGTTTAGGGGTTTAGGGGTTTAGGGGTTTAGGGGTTAGGGCCTTAAGCTAAACCACCGGTGCTCCAGCAGCTCTTCCTGTTCTTGATACGGTACGACGGCAGTGCACGGACAGTCACAACGACTGGTGTAGGGGCCCAGTGCATACAGCCTAAATGGCTTATATGTTTGGTAGCCCAACCCTGAACCCTCAACCCTAAACCGAAGGGTACAGACCCCCTGTTCGGTTTAAGGTAAGCTTGAACCAAAAAAGTGGCCACTGGGCTACCAAGTATCCAAGACCTGCAACCAGAGCTTAGGGTTTGACTCTTGGAACTGCAGGGTAGAATTCTCACGAGGGTTTAGGGTTTAGGGGTTTAGGGGTTTAGGGGTCTAGGGGTTTAGGGGTTTAGGGGTTTAGGGTTTGGGGTTTAGGGTTTAGGGTTTAGGGTTTAGGGTTTAGGGTTTAGGGTTTAGGGTTTAGGGTTTAGGGTTTAGGGTTTAGGGTTTAGGGTTTAGGGTTTAGGGTTTAGGGTTTAGGGTTTAGGGTTTAGGGTTTAGGGTTTAGGGTTTAGGGTTTAGGGTTTAGGGTTTAGGGTTTAGGTTTTAGGGTTTAGGGTTTAGGGAGTACCCCGTGCTAGCAATGCGGGCTGCTGAGACATGGCACCCTCAACCCTCAAGCCTAAGCCTTAGAGGCCATGCCGGGACGTTGAAGCTGCGGGCTGCGGGTTGACAACAGAACCCTAAACCCTAAACCCTAAACCCTAAACCCTAAACCCTAAACCCTAAACCCTGAATCCGTACCTTGCTTCCGTTTAGATGTCCCAAGAGCTGAAGACCTCACCTGGCTACCCAGTAAGCCTCAGAAGAGGAGGGTAGCAAAGCAAGGACCTTTTGAGAGGTAAGCAAAAGGATATGGAACAAACAAGGTTGCCAAACCGGATGTTCAGTATCTTCGGAGGATCAGACGTTCCCTTGCAGGAAAGCAAGACGAGCTGGCATTGACGTCTGCAGCTTATGACGTGAAGTTTCGCATGATCCTAAAACCCCAAACCCTCAACCCCACAACCTAGACTCCGAACTCAACCTCATAAACCCGAACCCTGCAGCCCAAACCCTCAATTCAACCTCATAAAGCCGAACCCTCATAAAAAGGGTCGAAAGCTCAAGATGATGGGCGGTGAGGATGCTTAGGCTCGGGTTTTGGGGTTTAGGTCCAAAGCTCCCTGTCTCTCCGTGCATATATCTTATAGCTTGTCACAACAACCCAGGAGGCAGCGTAAAGACTACCCTGGGCCGATTTCGACCACAGAAGCGAAGGGGGTTGCACTGCCAGATCTTCGGCCCCAGAGCCATATAAGGGTTCGGGTTTGGGGTTTATAGGGTTTAGGGTTTAGGGTTTAGGGTTTAGGGTTTAGGGTTTAGGGTTTAGGGTTTAGGGTTTAGGGTTTAGGGTTTAGGGTTTAGGGTTTAGGGTTTAGGGTCTAGGGTCTGGGTCTAGGGTCTAGGGTCTAGGGTCTAGGGTCTAGGGTCTAGGGTCTAGGGTCTAGGGTCTAGGGTCTAGGGTCTAGGGTCTAGGGTCTAGGGTCTAGGGTCTCGGGTCTGGGGTTTAGGGTTTCGGGTTTAGGGTTTAGGGTTTAGGGTTTAGGGTTTAGGGTTTAGGGTTTAGGGTTTAGGGTTTAGGGTTTAGGGTTTAGGGTTTAGGGTTTAGGGTTTAAACCCTAATTCCTAAGCCCAAAACCCGAAACCCTAGGATTGAAAAGACCGTCGAATAAGAGCCCATTCTGAGTCCTCTTTTGGGTTTAGGGCTTAGGGTTTACGGTTTAGGGTCGGGATTGGGGTTTAGGGTTAGGGCTTAGGGTTTAGAGTTTAGGGTTTAGGATTTGGGTTTTGGGGTTTAGGGTTTCGGGTCTAGTGTGTCGGGCTCCTAGGCCCTCTGCGTGCTCCTGCGCTGGCGCAACCCCGCAGGCTTCAGTGCTGCGGCCCAGCTTGGGTTTCCGAAGCTACGCCCAAAACCTATCCCAGAAGTCTAAGT